CGGCGCCCGGGAGGGGTGACCGCTGCTCCGGGCTCGGCGCCCCGCGCGCACTGCGACCATGGCTTCTCCGGCGCCGCGGCGGCCGCGCCTCTGCCTTCGCGGTCTCCTACTCCCTTTGCCTGCACTTTTGCTGCCTCTTTGCGGCGCCTTCAACCTGGACGTGGACAGTCCTGCCGAATACTCTGGCCCCGAAGGAAGTTACTTCGGCTTCGCGGTGGATTTCTTCGTGCCCAGCGCGTCCTCGTAAGTAGCCGCTTCCAGGAGAGGAGTCTCCCGGTTCCCTCAAGGCGCGCACCCTACCCAGCGCTTCCCCGGGGGAGGTCGTCCGGGGGTGGGAGTAGGGGTGGGGGGCGTCCCTGCGTTTGGGTCCGTGGATGTAACCAGGGAGGTGAACTTATCGGTCCCTACTCCTGCTTTAAAATTCGGGGTTGGGTACAGGGAGAGTTTTGTGGCACTCTTAGGCTCGACATTCAAAATTTGGGACCATTGGTCAAACAACAAAGGCTGGTTCAGCCCCGTGGGGCGCTGCCCGTGCGCGTGCCTGGGACGTGGTCAATTCCATGTGCCCACTTCTTTGGCTCCGGTACCAGCTAACCTGCCCTGGGGTCTCTCCCTGTTCCACGTAGAGCTCCACTCCCGACTCCAGCTCTTCCGAAACGAGCCCTCCCCCACTCTTTCTTCTCCTCCCTCGCAGCCCGTTTCTCCTCGCTTAGCGCTTTTCCAGACAGCCAGACGACTAAAATGACCCTATTGTAGTAAAGTACATCGTGTCTTATCCCTACAACCTCGCACACTTGCGGTTGAATAGTAAAAATGAATGTGTCATCTGTTCTTTTTATACGGATTCACTGTGTAGGTCATTGTTCAGCAAGAACTGGAGTGTTCGCAGAGTTTTCTCACTCGCCGCAGGTCATTTGAATACCGCTGCTCTCTTGAATCCCGTTGTATTTGCTGATTGTCAGCGTTCCGTGGTGCTAGGATCATCAGACTCTATCTGTAACACGTAGTGTCATTATTGGATTAACAGTTGTCGCCGACTGTACCGGACGCTGACATCACACTCAACACCCCCACCCCGATATTAACAGTAGAAAACCGATTTAATGAGTATTTAAATGAATGCATATCTTCTGATACCTGTATTCTGATACTCAAATCTTGTTTCCAGAACTGTTCTTAGGCTTCTTCTCAGCTCTTAGAAATTACAACAACGTGGGTTTTTGTTTCTAACTTTTCTTTATATTTTTAAACAAAGTCTTTCTCCTTTTAAGGCTTTCTACCATTTTTGAAGCTTTCTACTCCCAAATCCAATAGTCTTAGAAATTCAGAGGGGAACTCTACTCTGCTCTATAGGCTGTCTAGGAGTCAGAATTGACTCAGTGGCAAGGAGAACATACAGCGTAGTATTGATGTTCAGTACTTTATTAGGCCCGTTTTATTATTACTTTATTAGGCCCAATATTATACACAGTATAGCATTGATGTTCAGTACTTTATTAGGCCCAATACTATACACAGTATAGCATTGATGTTCAGTACTTTATTAGGCCTGTTTTTCCAAAACTTGTTTGCTGAATTTGAGGGTGATGTAAGTATTTTTCATTGGCTGATAGAGCAACTCTTTTCCAAATTTTTCTGAATGTCCCTGAATAGCATTCATTTTGGTGACAGCTTTTACAGCGATAGATAGATGGATGGATGCCTCAGTAATGGAAACAAGATATTATTTTCATGTAGCAACCTCAATTTTTGTTTGTTTCCAGTCTCAGTGTTTCTCAGATTTTCCATAAATAATAGCATAATCATTAACTTTAGGTAATACTTACTATGTTCTCATTAGATTTAATCGTTTTAGTCATCCTTGCTTCAAAATATTTTCAAGTTTATGCTTTATGGTATGTAGGACTTTAATTGTTTACAACAGTGTTCTCTCAGATTAAATTTATGCACAGATTAAAATATTTTGAAAAGTTCACGCTTAGAGACTTCTTCAAAGTCGTTGGAGTGTTTTGCAAATGATACTATTAATTTTCTGGGAGATCCAGCTTCACATCCGGATGAGTCCTAAGGGGTGACTGTGTCATTGAAGGGAAGAAATTAAGAGCCAGACAAAAGTGTTGGGGTACTGACCTCCACCATAGCTTCAGGAGCCAGGTCTGAGCAGAGAGAGAGTGTTGTCTTCTCATCATCATTTTATACACTCTTGGGGTATGCAAGCCCCTTTAATTCCAGGTAACCACATTTGTAGCAAAGTGGGCTGTACCCTAACCATAAAGGCCCCTGAGTTATTAGAGGAGTAATAACCAGTGCTGGGGTCACTGGAAGGGGAGTGACAGTTCCCTGAGCAGGGAATGAAGTTAAAGTTGCTGGCCAGATAGCAATCAGCCATGTGCTCATAAGAGGTAACTTTAAGGTAGCATTATGATGGGAGGATACTGTGGGAATCAATCTTGGTTATGAGAATATAATTGGGACTCATTTCTAGCCCACAAGTGTGAAGACCTCCCTCTACCCAGAATCCTGGCCTTCTAGGATTCAAAGAATTCATCTCATTATACTCTTCTCAGTTTTCTCTTTCCCACAGTTCTCTAAGTGTAAAGATGCTTTACAAGCTGCATTACATTTTAGTTGTTATTTCTGTGGGCAATACAATAATATTGGACTGTTGACAGGAGCGATTTGCTTATTGTTGGTTACAAGGCAAAATGGCTAATCTTTGAGTAGTCTTTATAGTCATTGAATACACTATGACCTCACATGTTTGTATGACCTCACACATGGACCTTTAATAATGAAGTAAAATTGAACTAGATTTGAATTCATAAAACATTAAAAAAAATTATCAGGCTACTTTGTAACTCTATAGCCTAACGTGATAAGGAAAAAGAAAAATAGTGACAGAGTTTTAAAAATTCAATGTTTAGCACTTCCACTTACTGAGCCTTTCAAATTTAACAACAAAAACAACAAAACAAAGGAAACCCATCTGAACAAAAAACTGAGCTCCCTGCCCTTGAGTTCCCTATAGGCCAGGATAGAATTGCCCTGTGTGTTTCCAAGACTACATTGTCAGTACAGTAGAAGCCTTATCTTTCTCTCTAGGAGCATCTGATGGGTTCAAAATGCATACCTGTGGTTTGCAACCCAATAAATAAGCCACTACATCACCAGGCCTCTTTCATATTTAACAGATTAATGTAAACATTTTGCTTAGTTTTGTAAAATGGTACTCATAAGTTGTCAAACACTGGTATAAAAAAGGTACAAGAAGGCATCATTTATAATGTAGCCTTCTGGATTTTATGTTTTTGATATCATTAACTTCCAGAGGGAGGAGGATATATATCAGCAGTTCTCAACCTGTAGGTTGAGACCCCTTTGGGGGATGAACGACCCTTTCACAGAAGTTGCCTAAGACCATCGGAAAACACGTAAATATTTCACAGTATAATATTGCACATGGTTTTGTGATTAATCTTACTATGTTTTAATTATGTTTAATTTGAAACAATGAAAATACATCCTGCATATCAAAGATTTACATTACGACTCATAACAGTAGCAAAATTACAGTGATGAAGTAGCAACGAAAATCATTTTATGCTTGGGGGTCACCACAACATGAGGATCTGTATAAAAGGATCTCGGCATTAGGAAGGTTGAGAACCACTGATGTATATAGTTAGAATATGCTGGGCTGCTAACTGCAAAGTCAGCAGTTTAAAACCACCGGCTGCTCCACGGGGTTTCCGATGAGGCTTTCTATGTCTGTAAAAATTGCAGCCTGGGGAACTCACATGGGCAGTTCTACCCGGTCTTGCAGGGTCGCTATGAGTTGGAATAGACTCAGTGGCATGAGCTTGCTTTTTTGGTTTTGAAGGAAGATTGAGGCTAGTAGGTTAAGCTTCCTACTGCTAACCACAAGGATGGTCTTTGTCCTCTGCTCCCATAAGGATCTACAAAACTCAGTGAAGTTGCTGTGAGTTGTATCGCACTCCATGGCAGGGAGTTTCCGGTGAGTCAGAATCCAGTCTGTCACTGGGATTGGATACTGTTTTGAGGGAAGATTAGCCTGGATCAATAAGGAAGCAACAGGTAGGCGTTGGACTTCTGCCACTGCTTCCAATTCAAATTTGTGTCCAAATACCTAGGGAAAACAACATAATCGTTTTTATGTCTGTTTTTGTTTTGGTTATAGAATGTAAAGCAGCCTATGCAGACCAGAAATTAAAGTCATGCTTGTGAGAAATGATTGGTAAAATTTTAAATTTCATCCCAGATTTAATGACAATAATATCTTACATTGGTAAACTTAACTTACAATTTATAAGAATTTACACTTACAATATTCTAGAGCAAAAAACATCGGGGAAGTAGGAAGCAGATAAAATCATTACTTTTACAGATGAGGAACCTGAGCCACAGATGAGATTGCAGTCTCTATTTGATTGGCAGGTTTGTGGGCAAGAGGAATTAAAAGGCAAGGTATGCAGCCTGTGAGATCACAAAGTGTCAAAGGGATCAGGTATCAGGCATCAAAGACAGAAAAAAAAAATCATAGCATTGTGAATGAGGGGGAGTGCAGAGTGGGGACCCAGGGCCCATTTGTGGGAAATTGGACATCACCTTGCAGAAGGGCTGTAGGGAGGAGACGAGCCAGTCAGGGTGCAGTGTAGCAATGATGAAACATGCAATTTTCCTCTAGTTCTTGAATGCTTCCTACCCCCTACTATCATGATCCCAATTCTTACAAATCCAGCTGGCCTGTAGGATATACACTGGCACAGATAGGAACTGGAAACATAGGGAATCCAGATTGAACCTCTCAGGACCAGTGGTGAGAGTAGCGATACTGGGAGGTTAGAGGGAAGGTGAGGGAGAAAGGGGGAACAGATTACAAGGATTTACATATAACCTCCTCCCTGGGGGACGGACAGCTGAGATATGGGTGAAGGGAGACATTGGATGGTGTAAGATATGACAAAATAATAATAATTTATAAATTACCAAGGGTTCATGGGGAAAGGGAGAGGGAGGGGGAAAATGAGCTGATACCAAGGGCTAAGTAGAAAGCAAATGTTTTGAGAATGATGATGGCAACATATGTACAAATGTGCTTGACACAATGGATGGATGTATGGATTGTGATGAGTTGTATGAGCCCCCAATAAAATGATTTTTTTAAAAAGGCAAGGTGTAAAATTCAAAGTCAGGTGAATTTTTATATCTGACAGCTGAGGTTT